TTTGCCACCTCTCTGACTGTTTAATTTAGTCGGCTGTTGACATGGCCTCGTTGGCAGCACAGAAAAGTCACTTGGTGACTAAGATGGAGTGGCCTCCAAGCTCCATGTAAAGGACACCAGGAGCATTTATATCAGGCATCCATCTCGAGGTCTCTCCCAATCAGCAGACGGTGCACACACGCGGACGGCACCACGGGACAACCGTGTTCAGGCCTGGGAATGGGTCCCCAGCCACCGAGCAAAACAAGCTTCTGTTTCTAAGTCTAACCAAAAACGTGTCCAAATTACTAGCGAGCTCCCCCTTGGCCCTCTCCCCTCCCACGGGGGCTTCCTCTTGTCCCCTGTGAAAATCATCACTTCAAAAATCCCCAGCACCGCTGTCCATGTGGACGCACACCTCTGGTTAGGTTCGTGGCCAGTTTCAACAAAGCTAATTTCTGCTTTGAAAAACAGCACAGGGTTTGGGTGACCCACCACTCCCACGTCACAGAGGCATTTGCTGGCAGAGACCTGCTACTGTCTAGCCCCAGAGAGCTCAAGGTAGAAGACCTTGGAGGAATCACTGGTCAGAGCGGGGGATGGCAAAGGGTCAGCTGGACACCCACCCAGGGACTTGAGCATCCACCTGCAGCAGGTCCTGGGAAGGGATCCTGGAGCCCAGCGCTCATGAGGTACCTCCAGCTCCTTCTGACCGCTGACTTTCACTTGGGAGATCTGTCTAAACGCTGTCCAATGCCACGGTGCCCACAGGGCAGGGAACACACTGAAGCCCCATCTTTAGAGCCCAATCACCTCCAGGCATGTATCCTACTCTTCCATTCTGTTGGGGGCACTTGTCCTTTCCAGCCCAGGGACACCTTCTGCTGCCTCCCAGGGCCACTCCAGTCCCATCTCTTCCTAACTCTAAGAAGCACCAGGCTGTGCCATCTCCGTGATTTCATAAGCATCCCTGAGCCTACACCTCAGTCACAGGGGCAGGCGGTGGCTAAGAGGGTTGCAGAAATCCCACAAATCCAGCCCAAATCACAACGATCCGGCGGACATTCTTTGTGACCTTGGGCTCATTCCCTTTCTCCAAGTGTAGACTTTAGGTTCTCCATACGCAAAAGGAGAGCCACAAGGTGAATCTGCGACTCCTTCCCTGAGGCCCTGAGAGTGAACTGAATTTTCTCATTCAGATATTTTTTTTGGGGGGATGGGGGGGGAGGGGGATTTCTTCTTTAGCAAGGCATTTTGGTGGTAACACTGATTATGTAAAACCCTCAGCAGGACCCAGGACAACACCCTGAAATCAAACACATAAATATTCCCACAGCAAAATATATGAATATTTACACTAACTGGAATAAAGAAAGTCTATAAATAACCGTGCATCATTTCAGGTCAAACCTTGTTCTCAAATGAAATTTGGTGTGAAACTTGAAAAAGGTTTGATTTTTTTCAGAGCTTATGGGGACTTAGAATTGCAGATGAGGGATGGCAGACCACTGCTACCCAACTTGAAAATGCGTGGAGATGATCCTTCTCCATCACTCCCTCTGGCCATCTCTGTGTAGAAGTACAGCCTGGGGTCTGGGTGCTGCTGCTTCTACTGGGCTGCAAGCCCACAGGTCAGCAGCTGTGGCCAGGATCCAGGAGCCTAGCCCAGTGCCTGAGGTCAAAGGAAGTGTGTGGCAAACAGAAAACCAAGTGAACAATGTGGCTCCACTCTCTGCCCTCCAGCCAGGAAAATCATCTTCCTCAAGAGGAGGATGAGACAACCCTTTGAGTGGCAGGAAGAGTGACTAGCCAGGAGAGGTGGCAGACATCTAGACCGAGGTGTGCTGGGCCACACATGGAACACACAGCCAAGGGCTCCTTAGACCCGAGTGCCAGTCAAGCAGACGGTGAGGTCTGAAGCCATTGTTTGGATCCTATCACTTGGCAGTGTGTGACCATGACCCATGGCTTTGGCAAGTGACCTTGGCAGGTTTGGAGCTCCAGAATGACTTTGGCAATGGCCTTGACCTCCTGGGTGAGCAGGTCAGATAACTTGCTAATCATTGAAGATATCCTGAGAAATTTAGACATAAGTAAAGAGCTCCGTGGAGCATGCACCGGGACTTCTTATTCAAGGACATCGAGGTTGGGATCTGTACACAGAGGAGGGGGGGACCTCATGCTTTTGCAGAATTCTTGATAATGCCACTCATTTCCTCTTCCTTTTGGCCTCTTTGCACCCATGAAACAATCCAAACTGGCTCAGCTCAATCCTCTAAATTCATCCCATGATTATCTCAACAGCTAGCTGGATAAACAATTTGGCTCCATGTATTCAACAAGTTAAAACACAAAATAATGGCGGTGGGGAATCCAATACGGTAGAGTCTGTTTTCCCTGGATGATGACAAGTAGGGTCCCTGGTAACCACCCAGCCTCACTAGGAACACACCTAGGGAGAGAGTCTGAGCAATCTCCCTGGAACCATCAGGAAACTCCTCTTCTGCCGTCTTCGCAGGACTAAAAGTAGGTACTTGCTCAAAACCTGGCAAAGCAAATGGCTGGTCAATTCTATTTTTCTTTAATTGGCAGACAACAATAGGGCCGTGTCGGTCTGAATTTTTGAAGTGGCACTGGAGGGTATCATGAAAGGGAGCCCCCTCTGCCACAGTGCTATTGAGCATGGTGAGACCTCCAGAGGTACCTCAAAGTCAGACACAACAGCCCTTCCAAGTGTCCAGGGTCACTCTGCTCCCACGTCTCCAGGCTTGGGGCCATCTCTGCCACAAATGGAGAACACACTCTTTATTTTGATCACTTTAATGTCTTGCTGGTGACATTGCTCAGGGGCTGACAGTGCCTTGATTCCCTTCAGGAGGGCCTTGCATCTTGAGTTGGGAAGAAACCAGCAAGGTCAAGGAGGTGGTGGGCAAGCTGTTGGAGTGGCCGGCAGGCAGAGCAGCGGGCACGAGGGGGATCTGAGAGCCGAGTGCCTGTCACGGCTACCGCTCTCTTTCCCTTGGCACCTCCTCCTCCACTTGCAAATATAACTGTAGTGGGGGATGCCAGAGGGTACACAACATGGCTGTCTCAGCAAGCCAGAAGTCCAGCCAGTGTCCCTCTGGACACAGCCTCTCTGTGGGTGCCAGAGGGGGACAGGGAAGCCACATGAAGCCACATGTCCCGCTGTGGGTCCGGAGGGTCCTCACTCAACTGCTCTCCTGACTCACGGGCCACTGGTGAGAGCGCCATTGGCTGAGAAAATAGAGGACAGGGCTGAGATTTGCAAGTAAAATCACTTGTTCCAACCCAAAGTCACTGGATATGCTTCCCAAACGCTTCCTGCAAAGGGAAAAGAAACAGGGCCTCCCCAATTTCTTAGCTGGCCCCTGCGTCTTCTCATCTATCACTGGGGTAATATGTCCAGAGTGGCATTTCGTAATGACAGCAACATTCCAGCAAATCGATAGTTATTTAATTCCCAACAAGCTCTCGAGTCCATTAAACCTGATTACATTCACCCATTTCAGTGGGTGCCGTTATTTTTCCTACACCGGCACTTAATCCATAACAGGAACTTATGAGAACTTTCAGGAGCAATTTCAGCATCAATCAGCATAGAGTGAGCAGCACGATTTGCCTGTAATTATTTATCGGCCGGGGCGGCAGAGGGTCTGACAAACCTCCAACCGCTGACCTTCACCCCACGTTTGCAATAGAAGCAAAAGGTCTGGTGCTTGCTTTCCCTCCCTCCTCCGTCAAGTCCGGAAGCACAGTCCTGCCCCCCTGGCCTGCCCGTGCCAGGAAGGACGGAGCCCTGTCCCTGCTGACTGCCAGGGGCCATCTTGCGGTGGCCTGTCTACCTATACGTGGAAGACAGAAGCCACCAAACGGAGCAAAGGCCACACATCCAGGGTGACAGAAGGTTTTGCTGTTCTTCAGAATCACCCTGAACAACTCTAATCACCCAGACTCTCTAGTTCCTAAACGTAACAGCAAAGGAGTCGGAAGAGGAGAAAGAAATAGAATTTGACCAGAATCCTCCCCAGAAATTTGAATTAAAGCGTGAGAGTGTTGCAGAATTTTCAAACACAGGGGTTTGGGGTGCAGAGTGAATGGGAAGGGACACACTAAATATGTTTTCTTTTTTTTCCTTCCCATGGAAAGAAGATGCAGAACTGATCACAAAGGGGTGACCATTCTCCATGAGCAACAGTGAAAGCCACCTGACTGGCCACCACAGCCAGGCTCTGCAGAGGCCAGCTTCCCAGAGAAGCTCTGACGTCCCCCGGGAGCAGTGCATACAGCACACAGGTGGACTCGGGGCGAGGGAGAGAACGAGGTCCACACTTCTCGAAGCAGATGACCCTGTCCATACAGCAGTGCCCACCTCGACACACCAGCACCGGTCACCACCCTCCTCTGTCTTGCCATCGTTATGATGCGAACAGCTGGTGTGGGGTTCCCAGCACCACCTCCGAGTGCCTGAGGGAACCAGCAACGGGGTGTCCCTGCTTGACTCAGCGCCACCACCCAAATTCAGGGTGGCGGTGGGGGGGGGGGCTTTCTCTGAAAACAGACAGCCCATCTGTGGCGACCCGGGAATCGCTGCCTGCTGGACGCTCCCTTCATTTCCTGGGCCACAACTCTTCACCGCGTCACCTCATGATAAGTCACTCCGCCTCGTGATCTGCTCGGGGAGACCGAGCCCCTCGGAAAGCTGGGAAGGAGCGCAGATCTTGTGCCCTGTGGTCAACCTCCCAAAGCCAAGGCATGAATGTTAAACAGCAGTCAGATCAATACAAGCAAATATAGCTCAACTACACCATTTATTCAGCCATGAGAGATGTCAATAGCCAGATTAGGGTGATCCATCTTTTAGATTTCCTACTGTCTCCTCACTGACTACACGAGGGCTTTTTCCTGTATTAAAAGTGTTTGCTTTCTCAACCATAAAAATTCCAATTATTACTCTGAGCGCGCTGGAGTTAAGTTGCTGGCTGGCAGAGACCTTGCGTTACCTGAATGGGTCCAGGGAAGCAGGGTGCTGCGGGCAGGATCATGGGCACACCGTAGGAATGCAGGAGGACCCCTGGAGACACCAACATGCTTACACGCAGTGCCAGTCCCTCTGAGGCTCAACGCATCAATGAGAGGTGGGGGGATCTAGGGACCCAACTTCTTCCCAACTACAGAGCCGGGAGCCAAAGGGCTTCTGTCAGGAGCCAAGCGCTCGTCAGGCCGAGAGGGGAAAGAAAGAAAATCCGCATCAGCAACTCTGGATGTGAAAGTTTTCTGCCCAGACCACGAAGAGACGCGGCAGCTGCAAAGTTGAAGCCACCGAAATGGAAAGGGCTATTTTGGGCACAGCTTGCCCAACGCGCGAACCAAACCCTCTCCGCTAATTTAGTTCTCGGAGAGAGCGGGAGAGAAAGAGGGGACCGGCCCTGAGACAAGGCACTGGGCCCACAGGGTTTGGCCCAGAGGCCAGCCCCCGGCTCCCCTGGGAGCTTGGAAGCGGGAGATGTGAGCTCCCGGGCTTATCAGCGGCCACCGAGAACCAGAATCCAGAGGAGGATACTGTGGGCAGCCCCCGGCGCTGGGCAAAAACCAACCCAGACGTATTCAGCCTCTCTTCTCCCTCTTGCTCTCTCTGATTTCCAATCTAAAGGGGCGATTTGTAAATAATACAATAATACTGGCAGCTCATATTTGCACAGGGTGGGCGATGTGCAGAGAAGGAGCAGACTCCTGACACGTTCTGCCATGTCCTTCCCAGGACGGGTGGCAGTAAGTGCTCCTCCTGGGTCCCGGGGAATGGGAAGGAAACAGCCTGGAGCTGGCTCTGGGGTCACTGAGGGCTTACAGCTGAGGGCAGCAGTGCTGGGCTGGGACCTGAACGCACTCCCAGGTAGGACCCCCCGCCCCACGACCCTGTATTCACTACTGTATTTTATGCTGTGATAGAATTTCACATGCTCCCCACTTTCTCGTATTTTAAAGACAATCTTTATACTGAAATGTCAACTGTGATACATTCATTTGCGATATATTAACGACAGTTTGTTTCCCTGTCCTCAGAGATTCAAGGTGTATCCAATGTGTAACAAAACGGTAGATGATAAATACAGTTCATAAAATTAGAAATTTCTTTCTAGTGTCAAATAAACACCCAAAGGATCATCGGGGCTGTGCTATGTGGTGGTAGATTAATTCCCACGGGATATACAAACTGGTACAAGGCTGACACAAGTGTCCCACTTACTAGCTGTGTGATCTTGCACAAGTTACTTAGCCTCTCTGAACTCCAGTTTCCTCGTTTGGAAAATGGAGATAATAAAGGTCCCTCCTTCTTAAGGTTGTGTGATAATTACATAAACCCCCTGTCACTATATGGCAGCTGTGCGAGACAGGGGGCTAGGAGCTGTTCTTGCTGTATATTCCCTGTTCTTCTCCTGATGCTCGGTGTAGACACATCTTTTGACTTCAGACTGAAGGCTCAGATGACATTAAAAGTGTCACTCTTCTAATCTTATCCCAGGAAAGCATGTGGGCACCTTCAGAGTTTACAACTTGGAGAGCTGTAATATAAGATTCTGATGAAGTACATCCCCTTCTGTGGCAGCCCAGGCCCAAGGAGCACAGAAAATCACCTTGGACTAAATATCCACTTGGCCCCTTCCACCTATCTCGCTGCACCGGCCACATAACACAGATTTTGTCAGCACGGCAGAGGGTGGGGGGAGCGTGGGACGCGGCCAAACACGTTCAACTATCGGCTTTTTCTAAATCCAAATGTCAATTCTTCCACTCTGAGATGGCCAAGGTGTTTTTACACTACACTAATTTTAGTTGCTTGATGTAGCTGCATAATCACATTCCTAGATAACGACAGTGGACAGGGTTTGGCAGAGAATTCAATTATTTAGGGCTGAGTTTGGGCCATCTTGACAAGGTTCTCTGTAATTGATTCTCCTGCACCAAGTGCCCACGCCACACAGCTCAGAGGCTCGGGGAACAGCTGTGAGCTGACCCCTCTTACTCAACAGCCCGATATCGTTGCTAACTTTAGCTGTGGAGTATGACTTTCAACACCGCATTTCTGGGAAGTTAGCGGAGAGACAGAAGCAGCGGCATGATACGGGCGTGTTTTCTAATCTACTCCCTTTGGTAACCACAGGCGGGGAGGGCTTGAGTGAGTTAGGTGAGGCCAGGGCAGGTCGCATGTTGACTTTTCAGTGCTATAAAGGGAAAGAACACGGGCCCCGGGGCAGGAAGCTTGCTCTCATCCCGTGGGCTCTCAGCTTCCCGAGAACAGAAGTGAGGAGGCCCATTTGTTGTTCACCAAGAGTGGTCAGAGAGCCACTGTGTTGGGGTGTTTGGGGCAGATCATTTATGTACACATGCACACACCGTTTTATTGAAGAGCCTGCTGATCAATCCATGGAGTTACATGACACTCTGAACATGGAGTACAAAAGCTTTGGCTGCTTCCCACTAACAAGCATCTTCTTTCCCGCTCCTGAAACCAAGGGTTGTCTGGTGCTTCTTTTCACTTTGCCTGCTAGGAAGCTCAGAGTCCCATGAGAGGCTCCATTCTGTCCACTGTGTTGGCCTTCACCGTCTGCATATTTGTAACCTTGTCTTCATACTCCTGTCACCTCCAGTCTCAACCACAGGCACCCAATTTTCTATTTATATGTTATTGACCTATAAGGTTGAACTATTTATATTTTGGAAAATGCATTGAATGTATCCTTGCTCCAAAACCAGGACAAATAATAAGGCATATCAATAAATAACCACCACTGATCGAAACCTCTTGTTCCTTACAGCAGGGGCCTGTTCTCCCCAACGGGATGCACCTGGTAGTACCGGGCTGGGGTGTGTTTCTTCCTGAATCCTCTGGGGAGCCTCTGCTCCCCGGGAGCTGGTACCCAGGGCCAAGGGCTGGCTACCCAACATGCAGTTCCAAGCTCATGGTATGTTGAAGGAATTTAAAACAGTCAAAATGTGGAGCGAAATAGTAAGGTGGGAGGAGAGAGTGGCATTTCTGGTAGTGACAAGGGACAGCGGCAGACCTCCGGAGCATGCTGGGTTCAAACCGAGGCTCAGGTCCAGTGAATGGCTCCGGCTGTCATGGGCAGGTGGCAAGGTTTCCTATGTAAGTCGCGGACACTCTCAGTGGGCAGCTCTCCGCCGGTCGCCAGGCAGGAACCCTGACGGGCAGGCTGTGAGAGTCCCTGGGGCGACGTGTTCATGGTTCTTGATGAACGGTCGTGGGAAACTTAAGCACCCTTGCTTTTTTTTTTCAATCCATTTTATAGAACACGAGATATTCTTTTCATTTTTTTCCAGCACATAAAAGCATAACACGTGCTCTGAGCTCGAGGGTCCTACAGAAACGGGCGATGGTCTTGGTGTGGCTCCCAGCCTGTGGCTCACGGCCTCACCTGGCCCCGACCTCTCATCCGGGAAGCCAGAGTCCAGGTTGGCAAGCACAGGGTCCTTCTTCACCTTCCTCTGCCTCGTTACCCATTTCTTCTCTTCCCCAGAGTTCCCTGGTGGCTGCTCAGTCCAATGCTCCCCGGGCCAGAATTTCATGGAGGGATGGATGGATGGATGGATGGATGATTCCTTACCCAGCATGGGACAGTTCAGTCTCTTCCCTCCCCTGAAGAACTGCCCCATCCTTCCCGCCTTCCATGACAGCGCTCTGCTCTAGAGGTTCCTCCTCTGGCTCCCAGATCCTGCCTCTCCGCCCACCTCCAGAAACCACATGAGGATGCTTCTGGCCATGGCAGCCCCTTCGGAGTGGTGGCCACCAGGGAACTAGACGTCTATGTCAGAGAAGGAAAGAGGCCAGGGACAGACTGTTGGCAGGAGAATAGAAAGGGATCATCCAGGGAGACCCCACCTCCCCTCCGTGGCCAAGGGTGCCAAGTGCAGCCTTGGGGACCAGGTCCAGGCCATGGAAGGCCACTGTGATGCTTGGTCTGCACAGTGAGAGGGAGGGCTAGGCCTTTAACTCGCTCCCTGTCAAATTCGGATCGACCATGTCTCCTGAATGGCCTGGCGACCCAGGCCTGCTGGGCCCCACTTCCTGTCCAACGCCCCACCAGGTCTAGAGAGGAGGTGCCGAGCCCACCGAGCAGGAGTCTGTCACGATCCTCATCATTCTTCAGCATGTCATCATTCTTCCTGGAAAGAAGCTGAGCATGGGTCGTCACGGGTGACCAGGAAATCAAAATGGAGTCTGACCCCGGCCCTCCAGGTTTAATTTTAATTGCATTTTTTTTATCTTTTGGACACTGATAGTGTTTATCTCATCAGGCGGATTCATAGGTGACCGAATCACCCACATGACCCTTTTTCCAGGCAAAGTTGGGTGACGGTGAACCTCAGGGAGCGCCCAGGATATTCTTCAGGGCTACCGTTCAGATTCGTCCTCAGCCAGTGGCCAAGGGCACACTTGTGTGCAAACCACACTGGCAAGGTGCCTTTGCCGAGCACCTCTGTGAGTTCCAGTTTCCCTTCCAACTTGCTGGCGAAGCAAAAAATGCCCTCCTTCCCGGCCCCCGCCTCCCTTCCTTCAGGTCCAACCTTGCGGGCATAAGTCAAAGGTCAAATCTTCTGCAAAGCCTTTGCCTCTACCCCGGCCTGCGGACTGCACCACCCTCTTGTCCCAAGTCCTTCCGGTATTTTGTTAGCTCCAGGTCTGCTCCCGTTGGATCGGGGCCCTGGAAGCTGGTTGCCCCTTCCAGAAGGCAGGTGGACTCCGGCGCAGAAGCAAGGGCAGCCATTGCCATGAACCTCCCAAGGTGACTGTGTAGGAAAGCGTGAGCGACAGCCAAGAGCCACCTGTATCTCCAAGGCACAGAAACAGCGCGAGGTTTGAAGTTGGAGAGGTGGGCTTGGGTCGGCTGGAGTCCGGCTTGCCCTTTCCAGTGTCTGGCGTCCTCAGGACGATGTGCTCAGCCTGAAGCCCTCATCCCCACAGGGGGGACGCCGAACAGCACCGGGACCTGCTCACAGGTGCGTGGTGGCAGTGAAATGTCAAGCTGCATGTGGGCCTCCCTGGCACTTGGAAGGTATTCAAAAAAGAGTTGGTTTATTTTATTTCGTCCTTCAGGGTGTCTATCCTGTCCCTCTAGGATCATGCTCTCACCTCTGCTCCTTGGTCAGTGTCAGGCTCCCACTGACGCCCGCGCCACAGTCTCCCTTAGAATGCGCACGAGGCTCTTCCCCACGTGATCCCATCCACGGACATCCACGCCCTTCTGCCAGCAGCCCCGCACCAGGGCCCCCCGCTGCCCACTTTCTTTAGCACATATGGTCTGATCAGCCAAGA